ATTATATGGCACGCAGCTGAATTCAAGCAATGCACATTAGGTCAAATGATACATTTGGCTGTGCGAAAGTCCAATTTCGTAAAGGCAGTTTTACATTATTTTTTGTTGCCATTCTGTAGAGAATACTCCAAAATAACAGACTCTTCACTTAGTTTTTGTAAAATAAAAAACACCGTTATACAGCAATAAACCAAAGTTACACTTTCAAAACGTTATTGATACGTTGTTTGCGCAACCGGTTTATTTTCTAAATTTCAAGTGCATTGTTTTTGTAAAGTTCGAATAACTAAAGGAAAATTTTAAATGGGGAAAAAAACTATATCTAAGTGAGAACCTATGTCCCAATTTAAAAAAGTGACTTTTTATCATTTGTTTGCAAAAAACTGACTTATTTGCATAACCTCAAAAATTTTTCTGATTTATTTCAATTTATGATTTTATGTAAGCTTTTACAATTTTGTTAACTTTCGGCAAACAAAATGGAATCGGAAATGGATAAATTAAGATGTAATGAGTTCAATTTATTTTACTTAATTTGCCGTTTTTTGCCGTTTTCATGAAAAAAGGTTTTTTGTGGGCTATCATGCTATCACAAAAGGCAAGTTGTTTGAAGTTTGGCTGATTGGATGTTCGAAAAAAGAAAAGCCTTTTTCGGTTGTCAACCATGTTGAAAAAAAATTTGGTGCTGCTGATATTTGCGAAAGTTCCATGAAACTCTTAGAAGAAAAAAACGCGTATTTTTTGCAATTATTTATCAAATAAATATGAAAATTATGTGAAACAATTTGGAAAGGATGCTAAAATATTTATATCTGAAAACATTGCGTTTCTTGCTGATGAGGTTCTTTTCGAAATCAAAAAGCCAACTGTGTCGACCATCAGCCGGATTCTAACTTTCGCTATCGCTAAAGTGCTAAAATAGGATAGCCAACCTTTTTCCGAATTTTTAGCTATCTCCAAAAATATCTCCAACATTTTTTGGTGATAAATAATCCATTTTAATGGTGATAAATAGTGAAAATGGAAGTATGTGATACCAAAAAAAAAATAGCAGCCCCAATTTGCATTATATTTCATCTCCTGTAGCGTAGCCGAGGCTATGTTACAAATACACTAGCGCCTTCGCACAAAGGCAAATCCTTGAGAGAACTCACCGACTGAAATTTCCAATTTTTTTTACTCAAAGTGAATAGAGCTTTGAACATTCTTTTAACAAATTAGTTATATAAACATTCGTATTCTTTTCAGGAAGTTACCAGCGATTTTCGGTAAATGTGTCACAAAGCAGCATTTGTATTCTGAATATAAATAGATAATATCGGTGGAGAATTTGGAAATACTGAAACCTCAAGTGAAAATGAAGTGATTTATGAAGACAAACTGCTTTAGGAATCTCTCCTCAAGACATATCTGCGAGACATGTAGTAAATATTTTTCTTTTTTTAATTTAGGAATTTCGATAATGCTATAACTAATCGCTAGAAGAAACCATTTATGTACATGTGACCATACTTATTTTATTATATAGCTCATTTTAAAGAGGAGCGGGTTGTGTATGATAAGAAAATAACTTGTGTCAAAACCAAGCTAATTGGACAATGTTTTTGAGTAATACCTAAAACATATACTCATCATTTGAACATACAAAAAAGCAGTACGTTCTGTTTTACGAAAGCCAAGTCTGTTTAACATTTTATTTACTGCCTTTACACTTGTTTTAACGTTTTCCATCTTTTTACATTAAAATAATGCAATATTCTAGCTGCTATTAATTTCGCACAGAAAAAGTAATCATTTGACCTAATGTGCAATAGCAAAGCTTTATGTTGCATTTTCAGTGCCTTATCTTCTTTTAATTAAAGGAGTATTTCGGATATTGTAAATACATCCTCAATTATATTACATAAAAAAGGGTTTATGAAGTATGCAAACGTACATTTAAATAATTTCAAATCGGCAACTCTTTTTTCAAAATCTGCTTTTAAATCGTGTGCAATATTTTTTTCTAGCCATTGAAAATGATGAAATATTCTTTTTTAAAGATCATGAATAAAAAGACGTAGCTAAGTTTCAAAACTTAAAATAATTTGCGACAAATCAAAAACATTTCTATTCTCTCCTTATAGAGATAAATTCAAGTTTTCCAAATGTTCCATCATATCGGTAAAAAACATAAGTCAGAGAGCCAATTTTCATTCATTAAAATAATTTGCGACAAATTAAAAACTTTTTTATTGATTCCTTGTAGAGACAAATTTAAGTTTTGCAAATGTTCCATCATATCGGCTAAGAACAGAAAGCCAAGTTTCATTATCCAATTGCGGGTAATGTTCCGATCTCAATTTCCGTATGTGTATATATATACAAAGAATAAAATAAAAAAAACAACACAATGGAAGAGAGTGTCCAGCAAAGAAATGTGTTTTTTTAAGTAAAAAGAGCCAAAATATGCTTAGAATATTTTGGCGCTTTTTACTTTTTAAAATATATATTTCTTTGCTGGATATTCTTTTCCATTGTGCTGTTTTTTTTATTTTATTCCTTTTATATATACACATACGGAAATTGAGATCGGAACATTACCCGCAATTGGATAATGAAACTTGGCTTTCTGTTCTTAGCCGATATGATGGAACATTTGCAAAACTTGAATTTGTCTCTACAAGGAATCAATAAAAAAGTTTTTAATTTGTCGCAAATTATTTTAAGTTTTGAAGCTAAACTACATATTTTTATACATGATCTCAAAAAAAAAGAATATTTCATCATTTTCCATGGCTAGAAAAAATATTGCACATGTAAAAGAAGATAAATTGGACCCCTATGCCGCAGAACTACATGATTTAAAAGCAGATTTTGAAAAAAGATTTGCCGATTTGAAATTATTTAAATGTACGTTTCATACTTCATAAATCCTTTTTTATGTAACATAATTTAGGATGAATTTACAATATCCGAAATACTCCTTTTTATGAAAAGTGAAGAAGCGTTTGAGTTTTTGGAATTAAAAGAAGATAAGGCACTGGAAATGCAACATAAAGCCTTGCCATTGCTTGAATTCCGGCAACTACTTGAATTCCGTCAAGTACTAGATTTAAAATTCCTCTGTTGAAAACAGCTGCGTGCCGTATATTTTCAATTTTTGGTACAACGTTTAACTAGTACCTTGTTTATACTTACGAGAGAACCGCATTAACAAAAACCCGATTTGACTCCACACATATTTCCTTCAGGCGTTTATACCGGTGTAATTTCCGCGCACTCGCTGAAACCGTATTCAAAAGGAAACAAAAGTTGTTATTTTTACCTATTCCATATTTCTTTAATAAATAATTTGCGCGGTGGACCGAAATGGAAGCGAACAAGAATTCAAATTTGTTATAATAATGATTAAATTTTAAAACGGGCTGTATATTTTTCACTTCGCGTCAAATGAATGATGTGTTTATACCTGTTTTCTAACCGATGTGAGAAATAAAAGAGCGATTTTAAAAAAATTCGAGTCAACACACTTTTGAATTTCTGAGCGTATTGAAAGTTGGTTTATGCCCATGGTACAATTACTAAAGGTATTGTCTTCCCAGAGAGCGCATATTCCGATCTGCCATATTTGAAGAACATCATTGTTGCCCAACACCACCACCAAAAAGTTTACTGTAAGGGAAAAGGGGCATTTCTATACACCAAGAACCATATACTTTACGTATTTTTGTAAACAAACCTTCTTGCAGAGAACTTATTCAATTTGCAAAAGCCGAAAAAAAACATTTGCTTACTAAACAAATCTAAAATTTTTATTTCTCACTATATTTCAAAAGTTTTTTCTTTTGTTTAAAAAATTTTTTTTTTAATAAATTGAGTGAAAACAATAAGCGAAGCCAACTAAAAGTAAAAGGATCAACATTGAAATGCGTCAAAATGAAAATAAGGGAGCACGAATTTCGATGTGAAGTAAAACTCTCTGGAAAGACAATACCTGTAATAATTGTACCATGGTTTATGCCTCCGTTTTGAATCACAGCGAACTGGGTCAAAGCGCTTTATGTGTCGGTATAAACAAAGTATGTGAGTCTTTGTACTCTACAATGAAATTCGTAAATTCAAAATACCGTTCATAATTGATTAACCAACATTGAACAGAACTGTTTCGAAGGGCTTTAACTGACGTAAAACCAGATTTTGAAAATTTGACCAAATGGATCTTTTGAATTTTCTTTAATATCTATCTTACTACATTAGAATAATGATAAAATTAATGTTTTTTCATTTCTAATAATAATTTTATTTAAAAAAAAAAAATTTTTTTTGTGGTTTTTTGTGGCTCTTTGTAGCATTTAGTATTTACATGTGGTTCTTTTCGGCCTCGGCCTTGCCCACCCCTAGCATATGCAATGAATTTGTGCCCATTAGCGGCAGCACAGTTAGTGAATCTCACAATCGTTACTGCAAACAACAAAAATTGCTAGCTTACAACTCGACAAGTCGCTTTGTTAAAAGTTAGTGAATCGCACTACTGGTCGAAATGTCACATAACTAAATCAGCTGACCACAAGGTTACAAGCATACATAAATATGAACGCAGGATTGTGATTACCTCAAGTGTCTTTTTTGTCAGCTATTCATAAAAAGTATTGCACGTTAGCTAATAGTGTCATAATCTCCTTTCTTATCTATATAATTTTTACGCATAGTAAATACATATCGTCGATGTTTTTGCAAAACCTCCTAAATCGCCGGTGTGGCAAAAATGAGATTTGGTAACCCTGAACTCCAGGCATCGAGATTTATGCATAAAAATCATATAATTGTTATTAAAACAACAGATTTTTAAAATAATAGCTAGAGAAAATACCGCCTCTCAAGGCAATGCCTTCAAAGAAAAACCGTTTTTTCGCTCTCCTATAAAATTTGAGTGCCGTAAGATAGGCGGTTTTGCAATTGGTCGATGGGCGGTTTTGCAAAAACATCGACGATATGTATATACATTTATACATACATACCTGAGGTACAAACTGAAACTGGGCAATAGCGTCGGGATATGATATAAAGGCCAATCCAGTGCCACTACGTACTACTTCACTAATGTTGTCAGCATTTAAGTTGAGCGCCAGGTTTCCTAAAATCCCGAAGATAGTAATTCCAGCCAATAAAGACGTAAAAGTGTCCAAAGTGGTTACTATCATAGAATCTCTGACAAATGGAAAATAATAAATTACTAAATAAGAACTTCGACCGAGACACACTTGTGCATCTGTCCAGAGAATAACTACCGGTAAACATTATACCGAAAACGGTTATGCGATGAAAATGTCGCAATCGGGCCAAAGCAAAGAGCCAAAGAAAAGAAACACTGCACAACAGCTTCCTTCCATACCTGCAAAAATTAAAATAGACCCTTAATACATACCTTTAGAATTTGTTTAGTTGTAGTGTATTATACTATACATACCTTAATATATAATAACTTATCCCATTCAGGTTTTAGGAAAAATATAATGCCATCTCCGGCTCCCTCCAATGTGACTGACCTTATAAGTAACGTAATTAATACTACGTAAGGGAATATTGCCAGAAAATATGCGACTTTCCCCAAACTTCGGATTCCTTTAATGATAATGAAATAAGTGACGATCCAAGCAAACAAGAGAGTTAATGTTAGCCGCCAACTAGGTACTCCAATGCCGTCGGATATGTCCTCAAGTTCTCTAAGCACAGTTTTACTACGTACGATTTTATAAAGTTAATTTTGATCTATATACATACATATATAAAAATATTATAAAAAAGGACAAACCTGAAATACAGCTCAGAACTGCTTTGCAACCTTTCGGTCTGATTGTTATCTTCATTATTTAAAACACTGGAGCTTACGCAATTTGCTCCCCATTCATCCCTACAAAGTGCCCACGGTAATGGCGATTGAAATGATGCAATAAAATAATAAACAGTAAGAGCTATCAAGGCTGAGTAATATGTTAAAACTGCTAGCGTCGCGAATGATTGTCCGATGCCCACACCTGCAATATACATGTACATATACATATATGTGTAATATTTATGTACAATTGAAAATATGAGTTCAGGAATTCATATAAGTATGTGAATATGTATACCCATAATTGATAACTCACCCAAAAATACTGGGCAGGCTGCCCATATTTTTACAGAACTTTTACTGGAAAACTGACCCAAAAGCGCTTCCATGTAGTACATTGGTTTGCCTAAAAAGCATTTAAAAAATCAAATTAGAACATTATGATTCTCAAGTGTGTATTCGAAAAAATTTGGATTCTCAAATTAATAACTAAGGGTCAATTACAGGTCTATTATGCGCTGGTAATAAAAAGTTTGTAAACGGTAAATAAAGTTCCTGTCATTTTTTAAACCCTTTTCGCATTCTGTGTACTTTTGTAACCGGTAATTTTTGTTACCATCTCATAAGCTGGTAACAAAGTATTGCCCCGTGAAATATACAATGCTAGAAATTGCACAATTCTTCATAGCTGAATTGCTGAATATTTTAACTGCATTACCAACGTACCTAGAATCGCGGTGACAAGAACTGGTAACATTTTTTGGTAATAAAATTTTCCGATTTCAAAATCATCGGTAACGTGCAGAATAGATCTGTTAATAGCAAAGTATTCTGGATTGTAAATTTTTGACAATTATGAGGTAAATAAAAATTGCCAAGCCAGTAGGGCTAGTGAAAAATTTTACAGCATAAAGCACACCTACCCGACGGTTTTGAAATGATTTTCGTTCTAATATTATTGCTAAGACGTGTAATAAATGAATGGCTCTCAGTTTTAGAAGAGTTAAAATCAGCAAAGCCATTTTTTATATAATTGCTGCATTTTAATTGCTAAACTTCTTCTGCATCAGAAAAACTGTCAAAACTTTCCAGCAGTAAAAAGTTACGAATTGGCACAGCAGAAATGTAAAATCACCATATTAAAAAGTTTATTCACTATGGAACTTTGCTACTGATTGGCACAGGCCCAATGCAAAGCTTTCTCTACAGCTCAATGCGAGCGTGAACATGAATCTATGGCGAACATGTCGGATTCACAAAGGCAAAGAATTCCATTCGCATTCTTTTGCATGCTCACACACATCTGTCAAATTGAATCTATATACCGTGCCGTGCTGAATACGTAGCGGGCTTGTTCGAGTTGCAATCACAACCGCAGTGTTGCGCGAATGATTAAAGTATCGCGTTCTGTGTGAATTTCTAGCAATGAGCAGTTGCAACAATGTTGCCATTTTTCATCAGTACGGCAGTAATGCCGCTTTTATTATGTGCCTCGAACAGGCCCAGACTTTCCATTCACATGCGAATGCTGTAGGATGCTAAAGAGGGAAGCGAGACGCAATAAGAAAAGAGAATAGTAGCAGCACTGAGAGCTGTGGAGAAGACGAGCCCGAGCCCCCAGTCGGCGATGGCGTGTGATTTCTGTAATGTGATGATAAGAGCTGCAGAACTGTACAGCTCAGGAAAAATTTACTACAAGAGCGTGCAATTTCTGGCGTAGTCTGGCTTTTTCAAGATGGGTAAGGAAGTAAAGCGAATGGGTCTGGTACATACTATAAGTCACTCATTATTCCTGTGCTGGTATATGACAACATCCGATGAGGTGGCTCTTGGAGTATTCGAAAGAAAGCTTTGGGGAAGGTAAGCTGGCGACGGCGAGTGCCGCATACGATGGAAAGATCAGCTGAATGAGTCCTACAACCACATGGATATAGTGCAGCGGCTCTGCTGGTTTGGCCATGTCGTTCGAATGGACATCGCCGCTTCAGCTATGAAAGTATTCAACTCGGAACCCGCTGGTGGTAGCAAAGGAAGATGGAGTCCGCCACTGCAATGGAAAGACCAAGTCGAGAAGGACTTGGCTTCACTTGGGATTTCCAATTGGCGTCAGTCGGCAAAGAAGAGAAACGACTGGCGTGCTTTGTTGAACTCGGTCAGAATCGCTTAGACGGTTACAGCGCCAAATAAGGAGAAGATTTCAGTTCTCAATCTTTTGATATAAATATTAACTATTGCAAAAAGTGGAGTAATAACGACGATATTTCTCAAAATTAAAAGTTCACGTTCGCGCTCGCGCTCGCATTGAACAATATAGAGGACTTAGTGTTTTAAACACATGCCGGCGAACTCACCACAGAAAAAATTCTCCCAAGAATTGTTGATAGAGACTAGGGATGTCAGTGGCAAAAATACATTGATGCTTTTCTTTGATTCGATGCGTTGAAATGTACATCGATATTTTTCGATGCATCGTGTGCCTAGTGGAACTTTTAGGAGCCTTTACAATTTTTTGGTCAAAGTCACTTCTCTCTTTTGTACAATTGAAAAAACTGGAATGACGGTTAAATAAACTGTGATGTTGTTTGCAAGAACATCGATGCATCGATACATCGACTATTTCCACTTTATTTCGAACCAGTATGCGGAATTGTTTCAATTGACCTTATTTCCGTTGATTTTGTTACCTGTCACCTTTTACGGGTTAAGTGTCAATATATAGAGCTTACATATATTTACTTTGGGTAGTGCATGTCTTCTTACCACCAGTGTGTTTTTGCCGTCCCTTTTCAAACATTAAATTTGCGTAGCTTCGCGCCTCACCGAGTCGCGCCGCTTTCATTTCCAAATTTTTGTTGACTTTATTTCGCTTTTTAAAAGGTAATAATGTCAATTGACTTTATTTCGCACCAGTATTCGAAATAGCGTCAATTGACGTTATTTCCGTTGATCTTGTTACCTGTCACCCTGTAAAAACTATATGGTTGTGAAAACATCCAGGTCTAAAGAACTTCATATTGAATTTTATTTTATTGGTAACCTGATGAAATTACGTCACGTCGGAAGCTGAAGTAAATGCCAAAGCATTACAAATGATTTTCGTATCTACTTAGAAGACAATTTTTCAGAAGAATGTCGCCACTTTCGTGCCCAGTGCAGTATAAAATAATTATCGTTTTTTTTATTTTTCCTATAAAAGTTAGAAAGAACATACATACATTTAAATTATGGGACAATTACATGCTGAATAGCTTTCATTGTTGCTTGCAAAATGTGACTTCTCTCTAACTCTCTCTAAATAAATAAAAAAAACCTACCTGAAAATTCAATTAGTAAAAAAGACTGTTACGTTACAAATAGTTTTTCAATGAAGAGTAAAAGGAACTATTTTATTTTATTGTGAAAGAAGGCTGAAAATTCTCCAAGAAAACTAGATTTCCCATTTTTTAGCCTGGTGGATTCCGCGCCAAAAAACGTTTTGATATTTTGAACTGTTACATTACATTAAAAAGTACTGCCGGCTTTGTTTTCATATAGAAAGCTAATCACTAATATTTTTTTTAGTAGCTTCAAAGTAGAGATGGGCGCTGGAGTGATTTTGACCCACGTTCACGCACGCTCACGTTGATGGTTTTGTAAATCGCGCACACTCACGCTCTGTTGTATTTTTTTCAATCACGTTAAGGCACGCTCACGACGCCCAGTTTTTTAATCACGCACACTTCTTCGCTCACATTTTTCTTCAAATTGAAACTTTATTTATATGTACATATAAATTTATATGTTCATATAAATAGGCTTTATCGCACAGGCATTGCAACAAAAGCTTGACCAGTCAATATTCATTCAATGTAATTTTAAAATGACATTATCTCATAATTTTGTTTAAATCGTGTTTGTTTCACCAATCGTGTACGTCTTTGTTCTAGAATTCTGTCTGACACAGAAAAACAGCCTGATTTTTTAAATAAAATCTGGGCTCGAATCGTCACATCCGTTCACGGATCGAAAACGATACGAAAGAAAATTACGTGATACGTCAGGCAGTATAAGCTGAATGGGACAAAGAGTACGTTCACGTATATCATGATCCGAAAAATGTATTTTTACGTGACGAATAGTACGATATCGTATGTGACGATTCGAACCCTGTATTTTCGCATTAATGACTTCAAAAACTGATTCTACAGATTCATACCTGCATATCTTTGAATTCGTCAAAACTGAATAAGGTAAATAGATTAAACAGTAGTTGTTTATGATTTTATTTTGGGTGAAAATACACATTTGTATGTATGTACATTAGGGTGGGTCAAAAAAAATCAAGTATTTTTTTTTTGGATCCGACCCACGAAAACTAGTTCCTAGAAAGTACTTACCAAATCTGAGCTCTTAATATTAACGGGAAGATTATGCTCATCATAGTTTTCCATTTTCAATTTAGTCTCATATAAAAATGGTCATATCTTATCACCAATAGATCGTTAAACCAGTTGCATCGTAAATATTTATAGGAAATTGAACGCTCTACAAAAATGGTCTGTTATACTCTTTTCATTAATCTAACCATTTAAAAGATATTGAAGGTCAAAGATTGAAGTATTTTAAAGAAAATAACTTTTTGTTTGTAACTAACTAAAAAATAATTATTGTCAAATGAGTTTCAATTATTTCTATAGGAAATTGAACACTACAAAAAAGGTCTCATGTAGTTAATCGATTACTCTAACCATTTAAAAGATATTCGCAGTAGAATCCCAATGCCTGATTTTAATAGTTTTTCAATAAATATTTTCCATTCAATTTATGAATTTTGACAATAAGTGAGAATTTGAGTTTGTCAATTTTTATAAATTCAATTTTCAATCAAGTCAATTTTTATAACTTAAACTAAAAGAAAAAATATATTTTTGTATCAATACTGTATTGAATTATAAAATTTCAAATGGCGAAATAGATTTTGCTTCAGCTGATATGTTTGATGATATTTCTTAAATAAAAACCTTCTTTTTCTGAAATAGATCATAAATTATCTCAAAATTCATAAATTAAATGGATAAATTGGAAATATTTATTAAAAAACTATTAAAATCAGTAGGCATTGGAGTTCTACTGCGAATATCTTCTAATGGTTAGAGTAATCGATTAACTACATGAGACCTTTTTTGTAGAGCGTTCAATTTCCTATAGAAATAATTGAAACTCATTTGACAATAATTATTTTTTAGTTAGTTACAAACAAAAAGTTATTTTCTTTAAAATACTTCAATCTTTGACCTTGAATATCTTTTAAATGGTTAGATTAATGATAAGAGTATAACAGACCATTTTTGTAGAGCGTTCAATTTCCTATAAATATTGACGATGCAACTGGTTCAACGATCTATAAGATATGACCATTTTTAAATG